TATCTTTTGGCTAAGCAAACAAGAACCAACTAACGTGGTACACAGGAAAGACAATAGGGTCCTCTCTCCTTCTTTTTTTAGCTCCATGACTGAATTAATTGAACATCGTTCATCATTTCAATGTCACCACCTTCACTAAAAAGCAAGCAATGACACAGTTTCCCATATAACACAGTCCCTCAGCTGTGCATATATGGATTTGTGTGTCCACCAAAAAGACTGTAAGCAACTCTCACAAATGACTAACATATCAGCGTGGTGATCATTTATAGCTCTCTAACATATCTTCAGCAGATTTGGAAAGGAGTCAGTAAACAGTATCCGATAACAGTCAGTTTAAACATCTGTAAAGCGTTCATTGATTGGTCGCTGACTCAATAGAATGCCCGGATGTAAACTATGGCAATTAACAACCATGATTGTATACTATCAGAGGTACATACATTACTTGGGGTTTGCAACGCGCATAGTACTGTATGGTGACATCATGTCAAGATTCCATTAAAGTCTCATCTCGTAGATAGCGAGACTGATGCTACGATCTTCTAACATGAAATAGGCGGTTTGTAATAATCAAGAAAACATGTATTACCACATTCATAGCAAAAAAAATTAATACATAGAAAATGTACAGAAAATATAGTTATCGTAATCCGTCATATCGTGAGCAGCTATTTTGATCCACCATTATCCTAGGGTAACTCGAATAGGATGGAACTGTAGCTTGGTTTCGCGTTAACACCACGACGAACGAAATAACCGACAGCGAAACCAAGTGAGCTACAGAACTGCAGCTAGTGTGACTAGTGCATTGTTTTTGTAGTGTCTTGTCTGTACATTTTTATTTCTCGAATGTGCCAGCATTTTTTTCTGCGACACCCTTATTAAACTTTGTTTCTCTTGGTGTCTACTTTGCATTTTTTCTTTTCAACAAATCTTTCAGCCACCCATATGATTCCAAATTGTCGACACCTAAACTCTAGTCGTCTTATTCAAATGCAAGGCTGCTCCGTGCATATTACTTCACAGAGCATGATTTGTATACCCTAGTACATGTTTCATTTAGCTGGAATAAACTGCGAGTATAGATGCAGGTAAATAGATAATTGTGTTATTACCCCCTCACAGTTCACAACTAAATGGATCAATTAAAGTATCCTAGATAGAATGCATATTATACGAATCATATTATATTTTCAATTCAGAATACACAAATTTATTTCTCATATACAAAATTACAGGCTGTTAATTGTAAATACTGTGTCTTTAGTATAATCGCCGTAAACTCGGATTTATTATACAACTAAAAATCATCCAATTCCTTGTTTCATCCATTTCCAGGTACTTTCATCCCACAACTCGCTTCTTTCTGATTCACAACTTTGTTGTGCAGGGGTAATCGTAGTCGCCGTGTTCTCTTCTTTACCACAATACGGGCATGGTCGGCGTTCATTCGTCTCCATCTCTTCAAATTCTCTAAATTCAGACTCAACGGATCCAGGTTGTTCTCCGAATGTTGCTAGGCAACAACAAGATTCGGGTATATTCTCATCATTTGCATATACCGACGGTGAAACCTTTTTATATGAATCTGGTTGTGTCGTTACGTCATTAATATAATCTGAACCCCATGTCTGGGATGAAGCAATGACGTCACTTGAGCTGAAGAAAGAAACAAATAATCACGTGACACACAAATGACATTTATAAACTACCAATCATGAGATAGCAGTCAATATTGACGTCCAGTACTACCTGAATGTAAACGCGATCCAAAAAGGTTAAACATTATAAAATGTTAAAATGTCATTCATATATCGTTTATTTAGACTCGGTGTCAGTGCATATTGTCAAACCTACCAATTAATAGATTCAAGGCACATCTCGTTTCGTTCGACTCCGTTTAACCAACATTCTAATAAATGGTACGTCCATTCCTGCAGTATCGCGTGGTTATCGATGACGTGGCTTTCACTTTGCCATGCAACATTCTATAATGAAACGAACACATGACATCAAATTAAGGCATTGACACGTCAAGGGGTTTGTTTGTGTATTGGTGCTTATCGCCAAAATAAAGTTATAGAAATTCCAGTTATGTGTATTGCAATGTTTAGACATAGATTGTCATAAGAAAATGTACTTTAAATTAATTGAAAATTGTAATATTTTACCTGGCTTTCTGTCTCTCTGTCTCCATGACAACTATTTGGTACTTCCAACGGTGGCCAGCAGTAGTCACAATCTTCGTCATATTTAATAAATTGAATTTGATTGTCAATTTTTTCATTTTCATCCGTTCCATCCAATTCCGAAGGTTCTTGAAAGTCCGCCAACTCTGGCTCCGGTGTGTCAGCTCTTGATCTGAGAAAGAAATTGTTAAAATTACTCCTAAACCCAAGATCGCATTCGAGGTAGTACGTTAAACTTTTTAAAAAGTTTATTTCTCTGACACGAGATTATACTTAAAAGTGGTTACTCCCGTAGTCACCATGGTAACAGACATATGAGAATAAATATTTGTAATATAAGCAAGCAATGAGAATCATGAGGTCACAATAGGGTCACTTTAGGGTGACCTAGATAATGATAATAAATACTTAAATGATGATTGATAATAAATGTTACATACCCTATATAATATTGATGTGAAGAAAGATAGATTTCGCAAAATTGTCTTAGTTGACCTGTCTTTGGTATATATGTGTGTACATACTGGCCATCTTGCCAACCACCGACTACATCTATAGGATTAAAAGTGGCTTGTTCTTGAGAAGTCAGCTGTGCGTATACTTGGGTTATATCGGGATCACAATTGCCATGCTGAATCCTGAATAGTGTATCAAAGAAAGTTATTTTATTACGTAACTGGATTATATACGTACTATGGTATGTTAGCTATTTATGTATGTACGATTGGGTTTTAATCGGGTCGTCGCGAGATCTCGCGGGTTTACATTTCAGTAGTGTGCGATATGTTATCTGTTCTCTATGTCATAACAATTTCTCACCTTTGGTTTTTGGCGAGGAGCATTGAAGAATTTCTCCCCGTCATTA